AGAAGTTCAACAGTTGAATGGGAAAATACAAAAACAAGCAGAGCAAGAAAAGAAAAGAAGAGACGAAGAAGCAAATTCCGAGTCGGCGTCACCAACGATAAATGCACAAAATCAAGAAATCGCTCGACTCACCTTAATTAATGCACGATACAAAAAAGAGCTTCAAAAATTAAATGAGAAAATACAAAAACAAGCAGAGCAAGAAAAGAAATCAAAAGTTGAACAAGCGGCAATACAAAACCAATTGCAAAAAACCATAATAAGCCAACAAAAAGAAATTGATAAACTTCAAGTGGAACTACAACAAAGTAAAAATGAGGCAGACGAAAATGACGAAAATTTCTCTAATCCTAAGTCACGAAACGAAATGAAAAAAATACAAGATCAGACTTCACTATTGGAAGAAGCTCAACAAGAAATTGAGAAATTGAAAGAAAGAGAGATTGAATACGAAAATGTCTTCACGATTCAGCAAGGTATTAATAACAAATTAACCGAGTTGATGGAGCAGGAAATTGAATTAAGGGTTAAAATGGAAATAGAACGAAAAGATGCGGAGATTAAGTTGAGGTTGGAATGGGAACATGAAGCACAAAAAGAAGAACGTAAAGAATATCATAAAAGAATTGAAGATTTATTACGTAGACAATTTGAACTTGAAAAAGAAAATGAAAATTTAAAGTTAGAATTATAGAATTAGTTAGTGGGAAGATTAAACGTAAATTCATTTATATTTTTCTTCGTTTAATTAATCCTAATTTTTTATATTATTTATATTTTAATGTTAATTTATAATTGAATAACTTCTATGTTTGTTTCTAGATCGTATTAATAATTTAATCGAAATATTAAACGAAAGCCCTCATACTATTGAGAAAAAATTATCATTTGTCATTGTAAAAATAATAGCCTTGTTGAATCCTCGTCAAGTCAGTTCAGGATATTGTGTACTTGCGTCCGCAAACTGCAGTCCTGAACTGTGGATCTATAATATCGGTGAAACAAATCATAATTTATACTATCAATAGTGAACTGAGGTTTCTAGACCGGATATGTACTTAGTTAAAATCCAGTTTTGCAGTTCCATTGGACCGTATTCCAAAAGAGACAAAAAGCGATTTTTATCTTTTTTAGAATGATTGAAGTATAAGGAGTTTAAAGCCAAAGAGGGATAATTAAAAAACCTTTTCACTACTTTAACAGCATATTTCTCATTATTATAAATCATAATTTTATTCTTGAAAATGTGCCAAAATATACACTTCCAACAAGGATATTCATTACCAGAATTGCATTATCAGAACAGGTGGGCTTGGTCTCATATCTGCAAAAAAAAGAAGGTAGGCCAAACCAGTCATTATGAGCAGAATGTCACATCTGGAAAATGCTCTACCACCATTCAAGTTCAATGTGAGCTCCATACTGCAGTTGAAATTTCTATTGAAAGATACAACCTATGTCCCGAGGATATGGTTCATTTGTGAGGATCAAGCAAAAAAAGTCTTACCTTAAAATAAGACTGTTGGTATGGATGAAAAACTACTGAAGGTGATGCATAATTTATTCCAATGAAAGAACTATTTTTAAAAAATATTAAAAAATACTGATTAACTTTAAAATGGTATAAAAATTCAGAAATAACTATTTTTATAAGAAATACAGTATATAGCTTGAAAATTCTTATTTTTTATCGTTGTGTTTTAACGAGTAAATAATTTCAATTAATTGTATAATTGACGCGTGCATATTAGTTGATAAGAGTAACGATTAAATAATAAATATACGCGCGTAAATTGAACTCATTTTTGGTTCTTGTTCAGACCAGTTATCTCTTGCAAGTCACTCGACGCATCATCATTATCAAGATCTATTCGAACAAAATGATGTTTTAATTAAGAAATCAATGAAATACTTACATTAGTAAATGTTAAAGTAGCTTTACCTTCGTATGGAATAAACAAACGGACACTTGTAGAACCTTTAATATTCGGTACAATTTTAATAAATATGAATGTCAATATGATTGATAGAAATTACTGTACCAGTAGGAGCTGTAATTGAAAAAAATTATGTGGTAAGCATTCGACTAATGTAAATTGCATTTGGATGGAAACGTTCTTATTTAAAGGAATCGATTTCTTCGCCTTATCTTTATCATATTTTTTCAATCTCTCATATTCTAACAAAAAGACTCTTACTAATTACTTTATGTGTTTTCAGGTTTTTTTAATGAGCCGTACTGAAAATGTAAATTATTCAGTTTCCAATAATCTTCATTGTCAGAGAAGATAGACAAGATAAAGTCTTTAAGTTCTCAGCAGATGGTCTGTTTTCTGGAATAGTATCCCAACATTTTTCAATAATAAATTTGCAAAATTCGGGAAATTTATTTGGTATCATAGGTCGTACTCCTTTATAGATGTCGTATACGAGAACTCTATTATGACTACGTTCATAGAATGGCGGTACACCAGTTACAATTTCGTACATAACCATCCTAAAGCTATAAGTATCCGCGGCTTTAGTGTATGGCTTTCCACTTAATACCGCTGGACTCGTATAAGGAGGTATTCCATAAATTTCTTGATTTTTTATATCTAATGGACCTGTAAGACTAAAAGCCGTAATGAAAGCATCAATATGTAATAATATATTTCCTGGGTGAAAGTCACCACTCACAAGTTCCTTTTCGTGAATTTTTTCAGAGCATAGCTAAATATACAGTAAATATCGTGCGAATGTCAAAACTGATATAGTCCATAAAATAATTTTCTAGAAAACCCATTACTAATGAGTATTCGTTTGTGATTGGGTTTTTAGTTATTCCATAATAACTTATCCCAAACCATCCATCACTAAACTTTAAAACAGTCCGAATCTATTTTTGAATAGTTTAATGATATTAGAGATAAAAACAAGTGTCATGTTTACACTTTTAAAATTGTACAATTTAATACCTCTTTTACAATTTGCTTTGATTCACGTAATTTCAACACAACTTAATGTTTATCGTCAACAGATCGTTTAAATTTTTTTCTTCATGATCCCACTTATAACAGTATAGTAATGCTTTATAAATTCCATCTGCGAGATATTCAACATCGGTAAATTTTTCAAAAGGAATCCATTGAAAATGCCTTCTGACCTTCAGGCATTCTTTTATTAGACTGTCGATATCCTTGTTATCGTTAGATGGTTCAGCTTTATGAAGTTGATGGTGATATTCAAAACATTCATCGCAACGATCGTTTCCTTGACAACGAGTGCATTTACTACAATCATGAGTTTGTAGTTTTTCTTTTAAGCCGTTCGTATTCTCCTTACTTTCATCTAAAATACGGTTTGAATAGTAGTGAATTAAAGAAAACAACAAAAAAAATATCAAATTGTGATTTACCTTCGTTTGTTTCTTCGATAGCATACAAGCTGGTATTTGTTGAGGTTTCGATTTCTATAGATTCATGCAAACAAGCATTTTTAACGTTAATAATATATTAATTTGATTTTACCACTTTTTTTTGAATTTACCTTCATTTGGGATATACAAACTGATACTTGTAGAACCTTAGATATATTTGATATAGTTAAATCAATTTGAAATGCCATTTTGATTGATATAAAATAATGCGCTTACCTGTAGCAGTTGGCATTGATATTGTTTTCGAGGTAAAGATTCGACTGGTGTAAATTGCATTCGAATGGATTTGTTGTTTTTGCTCCTATTCGTAGGAAACCATATTTGTTGCGTCTCATCAAGTTATTTTAGTTCCCGTTTATCGATTCTCAGAAGCTCTTTGATTTCTTCATTTGTTTTAGGATATTCTAAAGAGCTGTAGTACTGAAAAGGTAAAGTATTCGTTTTCCACCGACCATTAATATTATAGATAGAGTAGATAAACTCTTTAAGTTCCTCAGCAGGTGGTCTGTTTTCTGGAATAGGATCCCAACATTTTTCAATAAAAAATTTGCATCGTCCGAGAATATTATTTGGTAACTAATGATGTCATATGCAAGATATATATCATGACTTCGTTCACCAAATGGTCGTTCACCAGTCACAATCTCGTACACAACCATTCCAAAGCTATAAATATCTGCAGCATTAGTGTATGGTTTTCCATTTAGCACCTCTTGACTCATATATGGAAGTACTACATAAACTTCTTAGTTAGATTTTTCTATATCCGTTGAAATGCTGAGTCCAAAATCGACAATTTGTGCAGTCTTGTTCATTAATAATATATTTCCGGGGTGAAAGTCACGATGCACAAACTTTTCTCTGTGAGTTTCTGTTAGATCTTTGATTATATTATATATATATATTTTAATTTTAGGTCCCAAGTCATTGCTTCGTAGTTGGAGTTAATATATTTACGAAGATCACCATCTTCTGCATAAGTCATAACTATTGAGTATTCATTTGTAAGGGGGTTTCTAGTTATTCCATAATACTTTATATTGCCACTCCTATAATTGCAAGTACGGAGATTAAAAATACTTTACTTGGACTAAATCAAAGTGTGCATTTATGGTGACATAGTGGTGCATTTAACGAGGTTGCCTTAGAGAGGTTTAACTGTATGGTTTCTACGATTAGTATCGATATAAAATATTTGGGATTACTTTTTCTCTTTTTGTGACATAATTTTTATTTTCCATTTATATAAAGGACAACAAAGCTCAACTCCGAGCTCAATCCCAAGCTTCGTCCTAACTACTTGTTATCCATACCTAAAAAGGGAAGCATCTTAATAATTTTATTAAACATAAATATGGTTATAATAATATATTTACAAAATTTTAATATGTTTTTGAATTTAACTCTTTATAAAAACAAAGAATTTTTTTCCCATATCCCATATTAATATGGGCAACAAGTATAGCCCAACAACCACAATAACAACAAGGGTGTAACAGGACCAACAGCAACAAATTCAACAGCTGCGACAAGGTTGAAACAGTTACAGCAACCTCAATACCAGTAAATACAACCGCAGCAGCAGCAACAATTATTGTTCCGATATATTTTTTAGAGTTTGTTTTGTGGTGTTCCTTCTTTGAAAGAATAAGTTTCTTTTTTAAGGGTATTTAAATAAAGTCGGTATTTTGATGTTACTAAACGTAAAAGTTTTTGATCAGAATAATTGTTTAAAGAAATAATATAAGAGATAAAACAATATATGTTAGACGAAAAAAATTTTTATCATAAAAGACTACGATAAAGTATTTATTTTATTCAATGTAATTTTATTTTGAATCTTAAAGATGCGATGTTTGCATTATGTTATTATTTATAAGTTCTGATATCTATACGTTGTAAATTAAGCTTGAACGGTGTATATAGAATAGAAAACATATGAAAGAAAGCTAATATACATGTATGCGAATAAAATAAGTAGTTTTTCTTGCACTCGATATAGATCCTCATGCCTTCTTCAATTAGTACATATAAATTAGGTATAGAATATTAAATGTTTTTTACTACATTATTACTCAAAAATTATAATAGAGATAAGAGAATGATTTTAAAGCTCAAAATTTTGTTTCTTTATATCAAATAGGCTTTAATATATATTCATCTTTTCGAATACATTTGTTTTATATATCAAGCGTCTGTTCGGAAAACTGTTTGAATAAATTAAATTTATCAAGTTCTAAAGGACCAAACCACAAAAAATAGAATCCACGAAATTA